AAGTTTTTTCGCGCATTTTAGTGCGGCAAAGTATTGAGCATTATTCGAGCATTTAAGTGGCATTTTCGCGGAAAACTTAATTTTTTTTGAGGGAAAAAAAGAATTGTCTTTCGAGAAAATGACGACTAAAACTCAAAATTCACAAAAACTTCAAATGCTACATTTTAAATAGCTGAGTGGAGACTGAGGACAAGTCAGTAAATCATTTGGAGGATTATGTTTTTCTGGGCAGTATTTAGCCCATAATATAATAATAATAATAATTATTTTATTTTTGTGTCAAAATACTTTAGCATGCCTGCTAATTGGAGACAGTATCAAAGCAAAAATAATACCACTAAATATTAAATAAATATTAAATAAAATGAAATTCTAAGATACTTATGCTAAAATACTAATACTATACTATTAAGAAAGATGTAATACTATACCGACACTATTCTATGTATATATATCTATATATAATATCAGAAGTCATTAGTAGAACTCAGGCCAACGAAGGAGTACCGCGCCAGGAGGATCAGTGAAGATTCGCAGTCCAAGCCTCACCGCAAACGCGAACGTAGAGAGTTAAAATAAATGCGAGGATGGACAACTTCTGGCGTAAAAAATAGATAAAAAATCTTAATAAATTTTAATTTTTTAGATTAAAATTTTCTATCTTTTTTTACGCCAGAAGTTGTCCATCCTCGCATTTCTTTTTAACTCTCTCTCCCCCTCTCTCTACTCTCTCTCTCTCTCTAGACGTAAAGCGCAGCACTTTCGTAACCTTTTGTCTCTCAAGTAATAACTTGTTGAGGAATGCTAAAACAGTCGTATATAAAGCGTGCATGGGTCTATCAATGTTTCGTTCGCGTTGTTAAAATTTCAAAAGAACTAACGCATTTTACTATTTTTTTATTAACTTTTCAAAAGTGAAATGTAACCTTTGTGGCAGCCTTTGGGGTAAGGGTGCATTTTAAAGGTTAATTGGCGTATTCCACAGCAATTAATCGATAGCTAAGACACACCACTAGGTTCTCTTAACTACCCCCACAATTTTAAAACCAGTTTTATGTAAAATCAGGTAAACATAAATGCCCTTTTATCCGTAGTCAAGATTGGCAATTCAATTTAAGCCCTGGAAATGGAGTTTTGAACTTGACAAGTCCACTACGACTATGTCACTCAACATTTCGAGCTAAAATTTTTGACATGTAGTCCCATGTCAACTATTTATGCTAGCAAAGTTTCAGCTTTTTAGCTTCTTTTTGTTTTCTCGGCAACCATTTAACCAACATAGACCCTTGACTGTAATACAGGTTACAGGAGTGCCACTTTCGCTAGATTTTTCTCAAAGGGAGATTCCATTTAAAAGCGTTGAAATTAAATAAACTTTGGTACAAACAATCGCCGCACTTTATGCTGACATTCATTTTAAGATGGTGGATTTAATTTTTTAGTGCTGGGATCAACCAAGTTGATCAATTAAAAATTTACTACAACCCCCAGTTAAACCATACGAGTATATACACTTTACTAAGCTGACAGTAGGTGTCCAAATTCATTGTCACCAATACTTTTGAACGCGAGAACCTTAAGAAATGTAGAAATTGTTATTTCTTTCGTGAAGATTATTTATTCAATAGATTGATGTATTATATTCCTCTCACGGTCCCCATCTATACCGTCCCTTAAATTCCGTTCTTTCTTTCCCGGTCGCTTGGGACATTGCGCTATCTTCTAAGATACAAACATCTTAGAAGAAAGTGAAATAGGTAGTAATCAAAACACAATCAGTACTTGACAGAATGTGATCTATCAGTATCCACTTAATATAATATAATCATGCTCATTGACCATGTAAAGATTGCATACTTTTGTGGGGTTGGATATAGGAGACATTATGAAATTAAAAAACAAAACAAAACAAAAAACAATAAATACATCATTGCTACTACTATCAGTCAGTAAGATTTGAAAATGGATCCATCAAGTTGAGTTAGGTTAACTCGCCTTTTTCTTCTTTACATTTAAACTTTTCATTGTAAGTAAAAAAAATTGGGGGGAAACATTGCTGTGTTTTTTAGTCATCTAAAAAGCAGTAACAGTTTCTGGTCTGAAGTTGAAGTGAGACAAATATTCACATAAAATAATAACTTGCCATATCGCCTAAAATGGCCATTTCCATCTTTTTTTCTGGAGATTTTTTTCTAAATGGTGACCTTGGATAAAGGGTAAAGCTTAGAGCCCTGTTTGTTCATTGTGAACTGCACTTCATTTTCTGATCAAAAGTTTAGTTTTTCCACTAAATTCTCAGTCTAAGGAAAACATGCATATTTAAATTAACAATACACATCAATGATTTTCTTTCAATCACTCATTCTACAAGATTATTTCTCACACATCAATGGATAATTAAAAAAAAAATTAACTGAGCATAATAAATGATTTGAAGCACATGTCTATTTCTTCATCTACAAACTCTTGCTGCTTTCTTTTCAAAATGATATCACTGAATATTTCTTCTGATGATGGTTTTCTGAGTTGGACTGTCAAAATTAAGGTTGATCACACAGACACATCAGAGGGATGATCAGGTTACAGGTGTGACCATGAATTGACCTCAACCTTTCTTTATACAAGTGGCATGTTTGAAGTGGTTTAGTACAAACTTAACAAGAAAATAGTTTTTTTTTAAAAATCTTCTTTGCAGCTCATGCCCACTAAAAAGTTATTAGATCCTGGGCTCTGTGTTACTGAAATTTGTTTTCATTCAGACCATTGATCTTATTGACTATGTCCTCCCTTTCCATCTCTTTTAATATGTCTACAAAATCCCCCACAGTTCCTTTAGGTTTTACTGCAGAAAATCTTTCTTTTAGTAGAACATACGTAACAGGACAAGCCATATTCTTAGTTATTAATGCCTGTTGGAGAACCTCTAAGTCAGGTACTTTAATTCCAAGCTTCTCTGCGAGAAGTCTTTTGTCTTTGCCATCTCCTCTTTGTATGTCAAGTGATAAACAAATATCATGCAAAAGCTGGAATGGCATTTCCAAAATCTTGGTTTTGTACTTTTCTTTCTTTGTTAACACTGGCCAGTTGACAGCAGTCAATGATTGCACACCCATAATCACAGGACAATTCCTGACAAAATTGATATGGGATTGAGACCACAATTCAGGTGAAAGAAACTGGTTTTGAGGCTGCTGGAAAGCTGTCAAAAAAGAGTACACAATATTACTGTATTCTGGCTTCTTTTTGAAATGGACTCCTTCAAGGGTCTCTCAGCCCTTTTGCTCCAAGGATCCAAAATGCAAATCTCCATTCTAGCTGCTGTAATTTCATTTATCATCCTTCAAAATTGCTTAGTTTGAAATTATTTTATATGCTCAACATAGTACATACTTTAATTGTCCTGTTTGAACTGAAAAACACACCAGTTTTTGAATATTTACATAGAAATGCAATTATAGTTACTTACATGTCTGGTTTGCAAAACAATTTGTTTTTCTTTTTTGTGGGGAATGGAGTTGAAGTTTTGTATTTTCAGTTTTCTTTGAATTATATCTATTGGCTTAAGCTTTGGGTTAATTTACCCATTCCAAATAATAATTCATGTACAAATTCCAATTTCATTGGGAAGTAAAATGAAGCTCAAAACTCATAAGTACCAGGCACTAAAACTGACACTCACCCATGGGGCTAGACATCTGACCAAGTATAAAGTTTGGTGTTTCATCAATGCAAGAAGGAGTACCTGGAAGCTGTGCAACTACCTCACCTCTGCCTGTTTAGGTTAAAGTAATAAATTACTAAATAAGCAAATTGAATTAGTTCTTGCAATACAAAGGGTTACTGCATGAAATGTCAGCCTTCAAAAATCATAGTGGTGGTTGATACCAAATGAAGCACAATTACAATAAAACTCACATTTAAAAAAAGTTGTATATACACCACCAAAAAAAAAAAAAAAGGAAGACTGCATAATCACAGTCTCAAGTTCATTAATAAAAAAAGGTTCCTGATAGGAGAATAAAGATAATGTCAGATTGGTGTGCCAAACTATTATATCACAAGCATGAAGGCACCACATTCCACTATTATTGGGAGAAAACATCGAAATGGTTCTACACAAAACTATTTGCATGAGACCACATGCTAATGTCTATTATCAAAGAATAATTAGCACAACATTAATGAAAGCTTTATGCATGAGTGCAAACAGTCTTAGTCAGCTTCTTACTCTTCAATCTAGCTGCTGAAATTTTGGAAATGTAGATCAATCAACAATAAGGTTGACAACAGTTACCTGAAGGTATACTCTTAGTCCCATCCCTCAGATCTGGCAGTATATCCAAGGAGGATTTGTTTACAGTCTCACTTGAATGGCCACATCGATAAACAGCATGCCTTCTTGCAAAGTCAATATGGCAAGTTTCATGATTTTGATGTGGAAATGGCTGGACTGGACTATGATGGACTGGATTATGATGGACGGAAGTGAGATCATCAGCGGTAGTTTCTGCTGATTGACTTTCACCTTTACTTTTCTTTCGAAATCTGAACACAATAGCCAAGAATAGGATAACAAGAGCTATTCCAACTAATATGTAAACAATAGTCTGCCTCTTCCAGTTTGAATAACTGCCTAATGGTGGCAATGTGTTCTCAGTGTTTGGGTCTTTAGTTGACCTAGATTCTCCACTTTGTGAGATGCTGGAACCACCATGAACCAAGGAGCTAGTGGCAGAAATGACCAAATTTGTTGTGGTGGCAAAAATTGCAGGGCTTGTTTGCGAACTTGTCTGATGGTGAAGTTGGATTTCAATGCAATGTATATCTGTCCAAGAAGGAACAGTAGCTCCACATTGGACAGATGAAGTTGAACCCTCAAAGCATACTGGACAAGGGAAACAACTGTGGCATTGGCCTGTAGCATTGATTCTTTTTATCTGGCCCGTACAATCTGGGCATAGAGCTGATACCACCCAATCAGGGACCTTGCAATAAAAAAGGTGCATTAACCATAACATAATCAGGCGTGATGGCTACAGTTATTAAGTCTATTTTAATATAATGACTCTATGTTGTAACTATGACGACTGGGTGTTTGTCGTGCAAAGTCTTGCTCTTAATTTCGTAAATTCAAACACACACCTTCAGCACTTTGCTTTAAAAAGTTAAGTGACTAACATAGCAGCATCATAGATGTAAGTTAAGTTAACAAATATTCTAGCAGCTGAAATTTAGGAGGGTAAAGGCCACCACAGTTTTGACCACCACACATTGTTATAGATAACATCGATCGATTGATTTATCGATTCGTCTCGACAAAACTCAAGCGCCTGTTCTGACCGCAACACAGACGAAACATCAGAGAGAAATTAAAAGGAATTACGTAAAAGCACGGAAAGATTTCCGTATAACCCCATACCAGTCAAACAAAGCCGTAAAGTAATCCCAAAGGTAATCAGTTGTTTTGCCGCTGCTTTCTTTTATCGAAGAATTGTATGCATAACGAAGTATGGGGTTATACGGAAATCTTGTCAAAAACACAATAGGAACCCACTGGCTGCAAGACATCTCTCTAGGCTGGGAAAAGTACACGTAAGGCACTCAGAGAGTGGTCGTCCCTCTAGAAAGTCCGCCATCTTTATCTCTGCGGTTGAAATCGAGGCGATGGTATGGGCTCGTAGAATTTTGTCCGAACGAATTTTGGTCCCGACACACCAGACGACATTTATTAATTTAGCCCTCGTATATCGGTTACGTCTTTCTCGATAACTTTATCCTACTCAGGATTAGGGGCTGCCTACTTGTAGAGAAGTTACTTTTCAAACTCCAGTATAGACCTAATCATGGATATAGTGTTTTTAAGATTTGCCTAGATTTTGCTTGAATATCAAATTACAGCATGAAAAATTTAGAGGGACGTTACCTGAGGTTGGTGATCGGAGAAGGGAAGAACTTATGGTGACAAAAAAGTAACGAGGGCTACGAGAAACCAAACAAAAATGGGTTATCTAGATCTTATTCCAGACCATCCGGTCGAAAGCTCTTGACTAAGAAATCGATTTACATAAACTTTAAAAACATATATTGAAAACTGGCTAATAACGAATCATTCTGTACTCACAACAGAGATCAGGACTATTAAGATCCCCACTGTCATTTCGCAGATTGAACTTTCTTTGGGAAACACAGAAAAGGCCATTTTCTGCAAGAACACAAAGAATTAGAAAATTGTTTGAAACTATTTCACTCAAATACCTAGATTGACTAGCTTCTTGGCTAATTCAGCCTTCAAGCGTTGAGTACTACATACCTTAAGCGAGAAATGAACCAGATACTTTATAACTAGACATCGAACTTCAATAGAAAGAAAAAAAAACAGAAGAGGATCGCTTGCACAAACTGAGCAGAATATTCTTTGGTTAAAATAAACGCGGGGCTCCCCCTAATTTGATATTCATACACACGCTCTCGTAAATTACAAACAATGAATACTCTTCTTAAGTGACTCAGCAAAAAGGGAGAGGAAATTTGAAGATTACTAAAGCAAAGAAGTTCAGATATAAAATAGGAGTTAAGTAACTGTCGAGTGAAATTTCTTGGAAAAAACGAATGATAACCATTTCTTACCTTTTCGCGGAAACTTTCTGAGACAGCGAGATCACGGTATTTTAGGGACCAATCGTCCTGCGTATGCAGCCACTTCAATGCTAAAATAGTTCAAGGCAAAACTCCAGAATACTGGGCCACTTATTTGCATCTCTTTGAACCAGCAGGGTGGGCCTCACTGGGCCTGTATTTTCAAAGTGTTTCTCCACGCGCCTCCCTTCTTGTTCTGGTATTTAAGGCCCGGTTCAGACGCCGATCTTTTCATGAGCCGAACCTAATTCCTTGAATTAAGTACATGAAAAGATCGGCGTCTGAATCAATTTGGAACGGCTATTTCAATTTGGAACGGCTCACCCGTTCTTCCCGCCTGGCTTGGCCGAGAATTTCGCCTTTGGAACGCCATTGGAACGGCTTTGATTCAGACGTCGTACTTTTCATGTGCCGATCCTAATGCATAAACTATTATAATGTATTTTGCAAGTAATGTGACTAGTTTTACTGGAACTGTATTTGGAACGGCCAAAAATAACGGCGTCTGAATCAACAGGCGTACTTTTGTTAATTTGGGTCGGTCCAAATTCAAATTGAGTTCGGCTCATGAAAACAAGCNGTTACTTTTCAAACTCCAGTATAGACCTAATCATGGATATAGTGTTTTTAAGATTTGCCTAGATTTTGCTTGAATATCAAATTACAGCATGAAAAATTTAGAGGGACGTTACCTGAGGTTGGTGATCGGAGAAAGGAAGAACTTATGGTGACAAAAAAGTAACGAGGGCTACGAGAAACCAAACAAAAATGGGTTATCTAGATCTTATTCCAGACCATCCGGTCGAAAGCTCTTGACTAAGAAATCGATTTACATAAACTTTAAAAACATATATTGAAAACTGGCTAATAACGAATCATTCTGTACTCACAACAGAGATCAGGACTATTAAGATCCCCACTGTCATTTCGCAGATTGAACTTTCTTTGGGAAACACAGAAAAGGCCATTTTCTGCAAGAACACAAAGAATTAGAAAATTGTTTGAAACTATTTCACTCAAATACCTAGATTGACTAGCTTCTTGGCTAATTCAGCCTTCAAGCGTCGAGTACTACATACCTTAAGCGAGAAATGAACCAGATACTTTATAACTAGACATCGAACTTCAATAGAAAGAAAAAAAAACAGAAGAGGATCGCTTGCACAAACTGAGCAGAATATTCTTTGGTTAAAATAAACGCGGGGCTCCCCCTAATTTGATATTCATACACACGCTCTCGTAAATTACAAACAATGAATACTCTTCTTAAGTGACTCAGCAAAAAGGGAGAGGAAATTTGAAGATTACTAAAGCAAAGAAGTTCAGATATAAAATAGGAGTTAAGTAACTGTCGAGTGAAATTTCTTGGAAAAAACGAATGATAACCATTTCTTACCTTTTCGCGGAAACTTTCTGAGACAGCGAGATCACGGTATTTTAGGGACCAATCGTCCTGCGTATGCAGCCACTTCAATGCTAAAATAGTTCAAGGCAAAACTCCAGAATACTGGGCCACTTATTTGCATCTCTTTGAACCAGCAGGGTGGGCCTCACTGGGCCTGTATTTTCAAAGTGTTTCTCCACGCGCCTCCCTTCTTGTTCTGGTATTTAAGGCCCGGTTCAGACGCCGATCTTTTCATGAGCCGAACCTAATTCCTTGAATTAAGTACATGAAAAGATCGGCGTCTGAATCAAAGCAGTTCCAAAGGCGAAATTCTCGGCCAAGCCATGCGGGAAGAATGGGTGAACCGTTCCAAATCGATTCAGACGCCGATCTTTTCATGTACTTAATTCAAGGAATTAGTTTCGGCCCATGAAAAGATCGGCGTCTGAACCGGGCCTTAACAGGATATGGACTGTAAAACAATGCGCTTCAAAATGATTCACCAGAGGAACAATTATGTTTTTTAAGGAGCATAACTATAATATCATGACTATTATTAAAACTATTTTTTCCCCTGAGATAATAATGCTGTTTCCAAGCTAATAAAGCATTTCATTCATTTGTGTTTGTAACAAACAGTTATTTTAATTAAAAACTCTACACGGTAAGTCATGTTATATCATTATCTACTTTTGGAGACTGCCAAGTGGATGATCATTGAAGCTTCAGTACAAGAGCTAGAAATGTCATGTTAAAGTGCTGGTGGAGAAACCAAATCAAAATCAAAAGTATAACTGTACACGTTAAAATGAATAGTGCAATATTTTTACAAAGGCCAAACTAAGAAATTTCTAAAGATAGAAAAAAGAATGTTAAAATTCTATGATCTAAAAAGTATAAAACGTGCCTGGTCTTGTTATTTACAAATGTGATAGGAAGGGGTAGGGAGTGGAATTTTATAACTTAAACAAATAATTTTTATTTTGGCCATTCCTGAAACAGGATTAACTAAAAAACCTCACCAACTAAAAAATTACACACCAGAAAAGCTAGAGGAGTAATCCAGGAAAATCGCTAGGTATCACAGCCTTCAAGAGTACAATTTTCTTAACCCTGTACCTTCCCTCTTTTCTTTTCTATCATTTTCTCTTCTGGTTTAAAGGCTTCAAAATGACATTAATTTTAAGGTGTGAAGTTAATTTACATTCATTCTCATTCAAAAATGCTAAAAAAAATGATTGGGATTGAAACTTAATTTTTCATTGAAACAAAGATCTTGCCAAGTTTCTTGCTAGCTTAAGTGAACTGCATTTGATTTTGTACCCAGTTATCTGTAACCTGAATCACATCGTATTGCTCAAGTTTTGTTGATATGGATTTGAGATAATCAAGTGTTCCAGTGTGGCTTGATTGCAAACTTCTCTATTAAAAGCACAAAAGATGGGTCTTTTTTGTTTGATGGAAGTGATCTCTGATGGTGCAAGGCCAAGTTCATATTCAAGCATAATCGTTCTCATCTCTGACTTTCAACGTCAAGTGGCCTACACATTTTACAGATGACAGGTTGAGGTACATCTGTTATGCAGGTTGATTACCCAAGGTTGTCCTTTAGAGGTTGAGGAAGTGGAGTTGAGTTACAGCCTGCTCTATGGTTTCCCCCTTGCATATCAACAACAAGTAGATGAGAATCGAAAAGGCAAAATATGTGTCATATTTTCAATTAAGGGTATAGAAACATGTCACTAACGTTGGTGGCAAAATTTCATTTTTAAAACTTTCTTGTAAGCTTATAGACTAAGGGTTCACTTTGGCAAAATTCACAGTAAGTGAGGATCTACAACCTTGTGAACAATTCTTTTGAAGGCTAGAGACTGGAATGTTATAAATATAAATATATCTTACCAGAAATGAAAATGACTGATTTTATCTTTCAGTGGAAGAAAAAAGTAAAAAAGTGTCATGACATAATTACCATAGTAGATAAGGAAAATACTGTAAAAACCCGTGGATAAGCCACATCCTGAATTTAGCAGCTCAAATTTTGGAAAAAAAGTTTTTTTTTTAAAGAAATCAAAAGAAATCTGAAGTCGAGTCTTGAGAAGTCTTCTTCATCCACTGTTTATCGAACGTAAACTCACTATTAACATTGCAATGGAAAATACTTCAAAGTCTTACCCACAATTTTAGCACTTTATTATAATGAACATCATTTCTACCCACTTTGACATATGATAAGATTGATCTTTTTCTGGTATTTGTTGACAGAAATTTCTTCATTCAACACAGTTTAGCAATAGATTTTTGCATTACAACAAAAACGTGAGCAGAACATTTGAATCTTAGTAACCTGGCATTAGATCAGACATGAACACGGAAATTGGTGTCCAGATAATACGACACCTTTTTCAAATGTTCCAGCAGATAAGCTGCACCCCATGGTGACGATATATGGAAAAAAGGTGCGGCTTATCTGTGGGTTTTTATGGTACTCAGTGTAATTACTGCTATTCTAGAGATCACAATCACTCCAAAGGGCAATGTGTTGTATTCTCCAAAGCTATCGTTATTTTGGCTGCATAACCCTTAATTACAGTAAATTTGATTAATAAGCCTTTAGTTTTCCTTAATTTCACCTCTCTGAACTGAGTCTTTGTCAGCAATGTTCTCAAGCTGATCACCTGTTTCAACTCCATCATCCTTTTAAAAAAAACAACTGTATTTGAATTTCTTCTTGATCTATTAGAACCAGGGGTACAGTACCCATCAATCCTCCTTTGCAACTCAGGGCTTTCCACATCATTCTGATTTAAGGCAGAAAATGCAGCTACTGGTATAACATTTCTCATTCATCTGTTTTTCCTTACTTGGTATGACAAAAAAAAGAAACACCCATAGTGTATGTAAGTCCTCTGATCCATTTCATACTTTCACCATGTTCATGTCCTGTTGTATGTACATTCATAATGATCGCATTTTCTATGGATACCACATCAGGCTTTTGAATTGCAAATGAAACACTTGTCGGTGTAGATTGCACTAGCTGGGTCCTGAATTCAGAAAAAGACAAGAGATAGAACTTAGTTGAAGATATATTCATTCAACTGCTAAAAAGAAAGACTTTCTTTTAGCAGTTGAACACCAACATAGTGCTAACTCGCCGAAGACGCCTCAAAATGGCCTGAGACGCTCGGAATCAACAAATTAAACAACAAAGCAATAAGGTAAGCCCATTTTATTTCAAAACAAGACATTTTTTTCTCTCCTTTAAGGCAAACCGATAACATCCCATACAAACCTTTATAACTATAAAACGTTGCGCAACACGTTAAGAGTCACGTCCGCTTTTCTAGTTGTGAGCTTGGGCTGCCTGTGACCACACCCGACGAAGACCCCTAGGTTGACATGAAAGGCGGGGTCATCACTCGGAGAAAATGTGAAATGTTCAGTTTGAAAAGTTAACAAAGTACGAATGCAAAGTCTGTGAAGCTAGACTCGTTCGGGCGGAGGGTGAAAAATAAGCAAAAACATATAATTACAATTTGCCGATCATCAATCCTCTCTTTGAAGGAGTGTGGGCTCATAACCTGCTTAATGACTGATTGAGCCTAATGGAGGCTAATGGGGATGGAGAGGGGTGTGCAGTTCACAACCTTTATGACCAGGGTTGCTAGAGGGATTCAGTTGTCTAAAGAGAGGGTTCAACATAACTTTCACTTGTCTAAGACTCATAGAATATCTTCTGTTAATATTTCAGTGGTACTGTATTTTTCATAAGTTTTACAAATTTAACAGAGTTAACATGTTATGTCTACTATAACATGTAGACTAAAGGACTCACACAGTTAGAGCATGAATTTAAAGTGCAAATGTTTTTACAAGTTCATATAATTATTTTCTTATCTAAAGATAGCTACAAGTGTTCCAAAATTTTGAATATAACCAAATAAAATTATTTTTCTTGACAAAAACAAGAGATAGAACTTAGTTGAAGATATATATTCAAAGCTGCCAGATTTTACATATTTGTTAAACCTCTTACTTAATTTGCTAGGAAGAGGCTTAAAAGATGGAAACAGACATAAAATGCCATGCCCCATCCTAGATACCCTATTACTTTCTGACTACCGCAATGTCCACGAGTTAGGTTTATACATATTGGTAAATCTGCATTACAAAAAACAAAAATTGTACTATCTGGCATCACCATTTCCTCACTAAGTTCTTTGCCTTGTAAAGTTATATTAGGTGCAATATTTACTTATCGTGAATGCTCTTAAATACCAGTAGCTCTTGCCTTGTACAGTTATAATAGGCACAAAATTTATCATTATCAAAAGTCTTACATATCTATGGCACAAAAAATTGTTCACCCAAAGAGGGGCTCTTAAATACATGAGTGAAAACTATTCACCACAAATAGTCAAGCTTCAGTTTACTATCTTTTTCGAAAATTCTAGCCACCTTAAAAGTAGAAAAATTCTAAGTTTATTGTTTCACTCATCATTCATCACTTGTACCGTAAGTGAAACATCTGTGCATAAAGAGAAGAACATCTCAAATTATAGAAACTATACAATTATTGCAAAAATTTACTGCTCCTTCTATTTACAATAACTAATGATAAGAAAGTTCTTTGAGCTTTCATTTAAATAAAAGTTAAGCAAAAAATTGGAATAAATATTTGAGAAGTAATATTTCTAACAACAATAACAAGAATAACATAATCATTTCTTGCCAGTAATTATATAGAGCAAGCTTCTCCTGCACACATTGTTGTAGGGCACAGACCCCAGTTGATTGTAAGGTGGATAACGCTATCCACTGGATAAATCACTATCTGATGGATCGTGGCTGCATTTTGTTAATACTTATCTGCTAGATATCAGTTTATCTTTGAATAGTGTTATCCATCCTTTGAACAACTAGGCCCAGGCTGATAAGAAATTAAAATACATATCAAGCAGTTTTTTATGCCAGCTAAGATTATACCTGCTTGTCGTCTTTACTGCAACCTGCAATTTTTAATTGACATATACATGTACAAAATATTTCAGCATTTCTGTTCAAAAATCAGACAATAAAAACTAGGGTTACTTAAAAATTATTTTACTGACAGTAATATGATAGAAATGAAAACTTTTACATATATTATAGCTTCCACAAACTTAAACTTAAGCTCACAAGTAACATAAAACTCAAATGTATACCTGTTTAAGAAAGAAAACCCGTGTAAAACCCGGTCCAACACTCAAGGTCTTAAAACAAGTGAGAAGATTATGCTACCTTTCTATATCAAGAAATGGTTAGATACTCTAGTCTTCTCGGATAGGGACGAATAAATGGAGGTCCCGTCTCCTGCAGGGTTAGGGGTAGGAGACGTTAATTTCCCATGCACGAGATTACTGTGTGATGGATGTCCCCCCTTGGGGTGGTTGCTGGGTGGGAATTGGCCCCGAAAAGCGCCCATGGGGAGTGGTCAATTAACGTGTGTATGTGTATGTGTATGTATGTAGGTGTAATAAGAAAGACATTCAAAGAAATTCTGAGTCCCCCATGGAGAGACCACTAGTTACAAGATGATTAGGGTAATTTTTGTAAAAGAAGCAGTCAATCAGATGCAAAATAAATGGACTGCTAAGCCACAGTTATAATACTGTTTTGTGGTTTTCTCACTAGGCAGTGTGTCCTGATATCTACTGTTATTAGTCAAAATAGTTTAAGCATTCCTAAAATATCTCTGGTCACAAAATGCATCCAAAATACTGACTTCTGGTGTCAAATTTCAATACTTACCAGTAAAAAGGTTGATAGCTATCACTGATAGTAATCTATGAACAAAATATAACCTATCAGATGTCTCATAATTTATGTTCCTCTAGATCATTCTTGAGAGTTGGATGGAGGTCACAACTACGTCTGAGACCTAACATTTAAACAGTCTGAGACTTGATGTTTTCTTGCCACTCAAACCGAATCCAATTCTCAATTATTATAACCACATCATCTCGTCCCATTTCTTCTAGAATGCTTTTAAATCTGCCCACACAGTTTTCTCTCTTTGAATCAAATTGCTTTAAGATTTCCTCTGTGGGGTTACCTCTTTGTTTCAACCACGAGATGGCAACCTTGTCTATACCAACTTTTTCACCAAGCTGGCGGAAATCATCCCCCTGTATATCCCGCAAAATGTCCAGTGTCTGACAAATCTTGCTATAAAACTGAATGCCTATTTTGGTCACTTTTTTACTGAGGATATAGTCCAGGAATTCTTGAGGTATGTCAGAAATTTGTGGGACAGTTGCAGTTGGGTTAAAAAGCCCTGTTGTCGAAGTGGATGTAGAATTTTTCTCAAGCCCTGAAAGGAAAGACAAAACAATATCAATTCTGTACAGAGCTTAGTCTCAACTAGGTGGATACTGAAACTTAAACTGACATTTATGGATCATCAGAATTTAATATAAATTATAGGGTTTTGACCACCATGTCAGGGTTGGTCGAGTCCATTCACATGCAGCAAGGGCATACATGTTAACTACATGTTGGCAAGTAATAGATCAAAAAAAGGCAAGTAAGTTCAATCCTGGTCTCGTGTTAAAGAAAAAAAAAGAGTTACTTCCAGTCCCCAAAACAAAATGAACCTGTTCCTCCCTGAGACTGATTTGGGTGCTTATTCCAACTGGGCTACAAAGCCACTAGTTGGGAGTTCACAAATATTTTCATTTTTTATTTCTTATTTTAACTGCTCACTGATTAAAGTGATTCCCCAGTATTGCACTGTGCATCTTGTAGTGCACATAAAAATAACGTAATCAGGCAATTAAGGGCACATGCATTCTGAGAATACAGTATTGTTTTTCAGTGGACCAGGTAAGGAAGTATGCTGGTCTTTAGCTCTTGCATGAACAAGGCACCATGAACTATATTTTGTTATTGCATAATTTGGTGTTCAAACTATCGCCTTAAAAATGGAGAAATTAAAAAAAATTCATTGAAGGGAAAAAATGATACAGCTAAAAGTATGCACAAAGCCTGTTGATACCTCGTGATGCAAATTATGACCTTGACTGAAAGCAACAACTCTTTAGTTAAAATGGTTAAAGTTTTCTTTAACTGTCAATTTACAAACCATTGCTTCCAGCTAAGGAAAAATGTACCTTACACTGATGAAATAATTAGCACTAGTACAGGCTCAAATTGGCTTGTTAGACTGGCCCATGGTATCTCCAAAATGAGCATAGTAACCTGTCTTTATAGTGTGTTTTCCAAAACAGACATTGGTAGAGAAAATTTAACAAAAGATAAAAACAAATTGTACGGTAACTTTTTTTTCTGAGGAATCATGCACCCTCAAAAAGAAACATTTTGAGTGTATATTTAGATTATAAATTTTTAAACTACTTTTACTCATTTCATCCCCGTTTGTAGCCTTAAATTCTTTTAGTTTAAAGCCTCTTAAATCACACAGTCACAAATCAAAAAATAAAAATTGAATTTTGCAAACAATGCTTCTTTCATCATACATCCTTAACACAATCATACAATCTCTGGCTTACTAGGTTGTTGCAATCTAACATCAACAGATTGCAGGGAAATCTGTGGGATGTCTTCCACATTGTGTCCAAATTGTGAAGGAGTTGGCAGAGGATCTAAGAGGAATTGATCATTTTGTAAATAAGAGTAACTAAAACTGTAATTGTGAATGAAATTTTACAATTTGAAAAAACAAAATCTGTACTTTGGAAAAACTCGGGGGGCTGAAAGGAGGAGCCTGTCAGTTTACCACAATTATGGATTGACATGCAACCTAGCAAATTATAACTGCTAGGGAAAGTACAAAATGAAAAATCTTTGTGATGTACTTTGCAAAATCTCCAATATGTTTGTGAATGAATCAATGGGGCAGCTATGTGAAAGAAAAATTGCACCATTGAGTCAAATCTAAAAAATTGCCTGGCGCCGTAGGTGTGCCGCTTTAATAAGTTGTAATCAATGTAAATAGTTGATGAATATAACTTGAATATGTAACATGACTGACTGGACATATTCTCGGAAAATGTTACAGCCAAAGGTGTATATGGTGTATATGCATGATGCCTGGTGGGAAAATGAAACTGACCCAAGCTCTCTGATATTCTTGAGTTTCAAGCATTATTATAATTTTATTTGCCTGCCAAACAGATCATCAAATCCACAGCTTGGTGAAAACATTTGCTGAAACAAGGATTCTCTCCTTTCAAAATACAGATTTCCAAACTCAGTTTAATTTTCATACACCATTTTGCAAATTACAAATTTTCATTTTGCAAATTACAGATTTTCATTTTGTTTTGATTTGTTTTGCAAATTATGGTAGGCCCTTTCCTTATCATTACAATATAAATACTAGTAGTTCATAAAGAAAAAGATAACATACTTAAGAGTGTGTCTACGCGAAAACTTTAAAAAAAATTGTCAGTACCTTTGAAAGAACACCTAAAATTTAATTGGTATCATAATGTAGATCGTTCACATAATGAAACTGAAAAAAATTGAATAACAATTACCTATTAATGGGCCTGGATTTGAAGAATGCTCAATGGCTTCATCCTCCTTAAATGCAGGGAACTGAATTGTTGGCACAGGAACTACAAATAAATTTAAAGTAACTATAATAAGCATTATAAGTATAAGGGCTATTTTCACCTCATAGTTGACACTTTTTTTAAATGTTAATCAATTGTGTGATTAATGTATTTAAACATGATCAGCTTTGAGTCTCTTTGAACTCTTTAAACAAGATAATTAATGTCAGAGGTTTCAATGTGAGTAGGTTCTTATACTTAGGTTTCCTTTACAGCCCCTTTTCCAGGCACAGCCAGGAAACACATCACATTTCCTTCATCAAATCCAAACTTAACACACTTCAAGTCACTATAAATACTATTACCATGGGAAAAAACTTACTATATCCTTGCTTGACCCATTTTTTGTTCCTTAGACTCCTGATCTGTGGTGAAGGATCTTTTCTGAGATTAGATGTTCCCTGCTTTTTGTTTAGGATTTTGGGAAGAGCTCCTGGGTGTGAATGTGACCTAGGAATTTTCTTTACTGGCTCTTGTCTGGTTTCAACAGGAACTGACTTCACCCGTTGGTACACTGGCTTCTTTCCTGACTTAAGGGTACCTCCTGTAGTCTCTGAACAACACAAAGATTGAAGATTGTAAAAGAACAATAAATAAATTTGATGTGACTGTTCTAACATAAAAATGTACAACCAAACTCTCTTCTACTTGTATGGGTAACATAAAAAAACCAGCTTGTTTTTGTCTAAAGCCTGTCAATTGATTGAACATCCCCCAGCTTAAACTGGGGATTATTTTCTGTGATATTCCCTAATTATGAAACCTTATACATCTAATGCAGTAAGAACCTTTGTTTAAATTCAATTAAAGATGAGAGACAATTTGTTGTCTCTACAGATGAAAAGATATATATTGCTTATTCATAAATTTTTACCAGAAAACACTGAAAAGTGAACATCCTAACCAACCATTTAAGGCCTGCACGGCAAGAAATATTTGAAGGACGATAGACACTAAGTCTTCATTTGGTGTGAAAATCTGCTCCAGCCTATATGTCCTTGGACAAATATCCATTCTTATGTCTGTGTAAATGGAGGTTATTGCATATATATCAATATAAATTAACAGTATTCACCTTTAAATTGAAGTTGAACCATTTGCCCTGTACTCAGCCCACGGCAATACTCAGAATTGTGGGGGTGGGTGTCTGAACTGTGAAAATATACAGTAAGTGAACTCATACATTCAGAGTCCCTGTTACGACGACACCAGATGATCACACAGACACCAACCACGAAAGAGAAAACAAGACCAACCACGATGCCCACAATTGTTGGCCCAGTAAGGCCCCTTTTGTGCTGATCCATGTCAGTGTTGTTTTTGGTGTGTTTTTTAGGACACTCGATATGATTTTGCCTGCATTGCATGCTCCTTGAAAGCCCAGAATTTTCACACTGTTTTTCATGATGTTTCTCATCATGCCCGCAACAGGCACTGCACTTATGACATCCACCAGAGATTTTATCCATATAGAAGCCTTTGTAACATGTTCCTAGACACACTGTGGTATCTGACTCAAGGGTACATTCTCCAGACCTTTCTTCATTCTTGTCACAGTTACGACAACTTTTGCAAGGGGTGTAATCATCAATGTCGGAAAAATTTACCCCACCAATACAAGGCACACACATGATTGGTGTACTGATTGAGACACTGGTAGCACAGGGCACAGTTGATCCATGTCCTGTTGGGCATTGTAACATTGAACATTTCCAGAAAGAGGAATGAGTAACATTTATCACTCGTTCTATTTCATCAGGTCCTGGCTTTCGATGTCTTTCAATAGCCCCAAATCCTTCATAAACAAGAAGATATGAAACAACAGCCACCTGCAAAAGAGTGTTTGATCAAAACTCAGAAGTTATGTTGAACTTTGCTCTAGTTACATCTCTGTCAATAAACATCATGCCCTGCGAAATAACCATTTCACCGATCGAAGAGTCATGTTCACGTTTCAAAATACTGTGTTCAAAATATTAAGACTCGTTTGACCTTATATTCCTATTTAACTGCCTTGAAAATTCATACTCGTAATCAATAAAGGGAAATAAAAACAAAATCGAACACAACCAAAACTTAGGAGTCTCTAGAATATAAAGACCCAACTGTTGTGCTTAGTAAGCACATCCATGGAAGCATTGTTAATTTCGTAATTTAGGACTTTGACCCGTATTTGGAAAAAGTTCCCAACTTTTCCCTCAAAGACAGGAGCAAAAATTAAAAAATATGTCCAGAGAAGCGGGAGACATTTTGTCATGGAACAAGTTGAATATAACTGTAGCAAATACAATTTCAGTTTGTTATGAAGCTTACATAACGTTGGGGCAAACAACCTTCGTACGACACACAGACACAACATGAGCCTCGGTTTTGAACAGGGTTTTTCTTTCTGTGAGACTAAAATAGCAATCGGTATCAATGAAGGGTGCGTGAGCTTCTGAATGAGACCTTTACAATGATACGTTCTGCGAAAACGTTGTTCGCAAAAAGGCTACGAAAAAATCGCTTTAGTTTACTTAGAAAACAGAAGGCGTGTTGAGGGTGTGTGAATACATGTCCAATTTATCAATTTTGAATCGTTTTGCTGCGTATTTTATCAAAGTTATTTTAAACTTTTATGCTAATCTGGAACTTTAATTGTACATTATCACTTACCAAACCCCACATGATCATTTTCACGAAGCTGCTTCGAAGATATGAAGACCTCAGTCGTCAAGACTAAGCCGAAGATAAAACGTCGAATGCACACACAGATCTAGAATACAATTTCCAGAGGAACTAGGTCAGTTATTGATGCATTCGAATGCGTCGTTCTTTGATCTAGATGCGAAAGATACATGTAAAAAACTTTACATTGTCAACAAGTGTCGGCGAAGTTTTGACGGACTTAATATAAAAGCAAGTTACGCGAAGGTTAATCAGAATTACACACAAAAACTTACTTCCTTGAGTGCAGCTTCCAAGGCCAATATAATTTTTTTACTTAAGGATATCTCAAGTACTATCGCTGCTCTTAATTTTCTGCAACCGCTCTAAGTAGTTTTCGCTGAGACGTCAGATCCGACGCCTAATTATTACACGACTCGGGCAGTCAGAGGGCCAATAACTAAAATCAACCAATCAAAATGCCGGTCCAATATTCTCCAGTATTGGACCGGGCACTGTCCCGAATGGTCCCGAATGATACCTCACCTGTGTCCCTTTGAACTTCAGTCGTATAACAAATCTCTTATTAACCAAGCTTGCTCGGGACCGTACTGGAAGAATATCGGCCCTCGGTCTTTTTTGTACGGACCTCGCTGCGCTCGGTCCGTCCTGTCAAGACCTCAGGCCGATATTCTCCCAGTAAGGCCCTCGCGCTCGGTTAATAAGATATATATATCGGCCCTCGGTCTTTTTTTTACGGACCTCGCTGCGCTCGGTCCGTACTGCCAAGACCTCGGACCGATATTCTCCCAATACAACCCTCGCGCTTGGTTGATAAGATATATGTACATGACTAAAGATTTTGAAAGGACCGTGATTCAGGGATTCCCCTTTCCCTCCATTCCTTGCTAGCGCCGTGCATCTTCATCGATAAGCACAATCCTGGGTACGAAACAACTAACTTTTCGCGTTAAGAATCAGCTGATAATTTCAAACTTGGGACAGTTAGGCAGACACTCTACACACGTTTAAGTTTTGCGGTTAGTGATCCTTTCCTTAGCGTTTGTTGCAAACCTTTTAAAAACCTTTAAAATTTAGTGGTCGAGGTCCCCGCTTATCAAACAATTATACACCAGTCGAAGTAAACCGCCACCCACTGCACTCTGGGTTATATGGGGTGAGGCTTTCGAAGGGATTTAATGACCAGGAGGTCATTATGGATGCCAACCATTGTTCTTGCAAATATTTCTGGTTAAAATAATGCTGTGATGTATCATTAATTACATGGAATACGAAAGGAGAGAAAGGTCAGTTAAACAGACCTAAGTGATCAGGAAAGGTAGGTAAACAGGGTTCTTGCACTTTTTCAGGAACCCAATTTAAGGACTTTCAAGGACTTTTTAGGCCATTTTCAAGGACCTTGGCTCTCAAATTCAAGTACCATCTGCATTAAATAGGAGCTAATAAAAAAAGAAAAAACATTGCAGGACCGGCCGATAAGTCCAACGAGCGTGACTTCAAGAATGCATATCAGAGTGATCATGAGCTAGGTAACCAAGGTTACAAAATAAATAAAAATCACGTGTCAAATAACGTAACCGGACGCGGGATTTGAAAAGGAAACTCGTTTTAGCGATTTGTACTAGAAACATCGAAAACAAAAGAAAACTTGGACTTTGATTCACCTGAGCTTATTTTCAAGGACTTTTCAGAAATTTTCAAGGACCTTAGTCTAAATTCAAGGGTTTTCAAGTCCTTGAAAACAAAACATGAAATTCAAGGACTTTCAAGCACAGGTGGTATGGTGACCGAGAACTGCCATTAAAAATATTCAAATTTGTAGGAATTATTTTTGTTATTTTTTTTTATTTCTATTTATTTCTCATTTTTCTTTTTAAAATAAAAGCAAGTGAAAGTAAAATGTAAAATAGAAATAAAATGAAACCAAAGATAAATGAAATCAAATGAAAATTAAATACTACCCGGCCGAGCGCTGCCACTAGTTTTTTTTTTTTTTTCCCGCGGTCGGAAAAAAATATTTGTTGGTGGCCAAACGCTGCCACAAGGCCGAGGGCTGCCAAACAAACCTAGAATGCACTACCATCAAAAAATTCATGAGAAGCAATTTCTGGGTCGAATAACTCATACCCATGTCCTTACGGTGGCTTCAAAGGGACATACACTTTCCTCTCTCTGTTTTTTTTCACTTGCGACTTATCTGCTACTTTCTTGCGACTTAGCTGCGACTTTCTTGCTACTTTCTTGCGACTTAGCTGCGACTTTCTTGCTACTTTCTTGCGACTTAGCTGCGACTTTCTTGCTACTTTCTTGCGACTTAGCTGCGACTTTCTCGCTACTTTCTTGCGACTTAGCTGCGACTTTCTTGCTACTTTCTTGCGACTTAGCTGCGACTTTCTTGCTACTTTCTTGCGACTTAGCTTCGACTTTCTTGCTGCTTTCTTGCGACTTATCTGCGACTTGCT